CACCTGTAGAAGGAGGTGAGGACTGAGCTTCCAGACCAGCTCGTCTCGCTCACTTTTAATGTGTTTGATTAAAAGTATAGTTTCCTCAAATGGCCAAAGATGAATCCACGATGGTGAAGGCCACCACTGCCCACCCCCTGGCCCTGCCGTTGCACCTGGTGGTGGATAAAATTGCTCCCTCTGCTCGTCAGCCATTCCGTGCTGCTTGAACAAGCAACAAGAAAAATGTGCCTCTGTTCTTATACACAGTGTAAAACTACCCACTTGGATATCCTGCATCAAAACATTAAGGTTTACTTTCACCCCCTGTTCAATTCCAGTCCAGAAAAACACTTATCTCCAAATCGACAAACATTCACTGTTCATATCCGTCAGCGACGAACATCAGCGTGCTGCTTATTCCTGCCATAGCTCTGTTCAGGACTGATCACAATGTGAATGTGAACACTGTACCTTTGTTTGTTGAGAGGCTGTTAAATCTCATAGCTCTGCACGTTGTGGAGCTAGGTGTGTGTAAGGACCCGATTCATCAGAATGGATCAGGGTTTGGTGATCTCAAGCTTATTTCATTTCATTTTGTAGCAGCATTACAGAGAGGAAACTAAAACCTGACGTGATGTATGGGCAGAGCGTTGGTCAGATGATGGAACTGACTGTGTGCTCCTCATTGTTCCTCTTTTCTGAAAACCTGTAACTTCAACCGTTGAGGGCGGTGCCATCTGTTGGTGGGTCTTTGAGCTGCACTGCTTTCCAGAACTGACTCAGAAATGCAACTTCCCTGACAACAAATACCTCTAATGGTCATATCTAATAACTGCAGCTGACAACAAAATGAATAGTTGCTTCATGTTCATTAGGTCACTCATGTTTGGAAAGAGGTCGTTCATGTTGTTAGTGTCTGAGGAAAGTCTGGTTCTCTATGCTGCACTTTTGCACGTTGTTCTAAAAGAGACTGTTCTGCGTTAATGAGGCTTTTCCAGTCACCAGGATTTCTTTCCATGCTTTACTATGTTTTATTGTGACTAAAATATGGATTTATGAGATTTGCAATCCTTTCATTCTGAAGTTTTTACATTTGATACATCATGACATTTTTGGAATTTGTTTAGTGTTAGTTGTGCATCACTCATATTGTAACACGAGGAACTGTGTGACGAGCTCTTCTTCAGGTCCCTGTTTTCTGGACAACAAACTGTTGGAAGTAGTTAATGCTTTTATTTCTTGTTCTCTTACTTGAACATGGCTACACCTGTGTGGTTCTTTGTTTTGGATCCTTTCACAGTATTGTCTCACACATTACCCATCGCTGAGAGTGTACGTACTTGTGTTTTACTCACACCCCACAACGATCACCTGCATCAGTGTTCATGGAACAATTTGCTTTTCTGCTAATATTTTTTCAGTGTTTGGCCCAAACCAGAGCCACATGGTAACGATTCATTGTAATTACAAGGTTTACCCAGAATGTTTTGGAATGTTATAGGATTCATTTTTCACTTGTTATTTACTACTGGAGGAGGACGGAGCTCACTCAAAGTGATCTCATGATGCTTTACCTCCAGATGCTGATCTTGCTTTGTTTCCTAGTTGTATAATTGTGTGTGTGCGTGTACAAACATACACAAATAGTACGTACATCCGTTGCAAATACTTGGGTAACACAATACATTAGTGAAAACATTTATTTCCATTGTTCTGCAACACATGATCAAAATGACAAAAATCGCTATAGAAACAAAATTGAGAAGTAAAACAGACAATAAATATCAGTATACAGATGGTAATGTAAAACATCTATGACAATTTATACAATGAAAATATAGAAAAGATAAGACAGAGGACGGGCTGGACCAGGTATCAGTCTATTGTAACAGTCAAAAATAAGCATGCCAATGTGGAACAAACGAGTAAAATGACGGATGTATCAATTCGTCGTGTATAAACAGAGTGAATGCTTAAAAACCCACTTTAGTAATATCCTGATGCATGCTCAACACTTTAGTAATGTTCCGTCAAACACCAGAGACGGTCCGGCCTTCTTTAACCCCCTCTGTCCAGTGTCCTGGACACAAACTACTGGGACTGCAGGTTCTTGTGACTGCCTTCCTATTGGTCAAGAGCAAGTGCCAATCAAAGCCGAGGTCCACTCACACTCGGCAGGACCTGAGGGGGCGGGCCTTGTCAGTGTGTACAGTTTGGTAGAAAACAGTTGATAATGGTCGAAGCTGCGGCTGCTCGCCGGGAACGGACCGCTCTGCCCGGATCGTGTGCACACGGAGAGGTACGTGTGTTCAAAGTTCCGCCACGCGGCCCGCTTCCATGTGTATTTGTGTTTTTAATGTGCGAGGCGGAGTCAGGAAGCTTCGGCTGACATCGGTTCACAGATGGAGACCTCTCGCCGGACCTGTCGCTGTTAGCGGGCCGGTGCTAGCGCGCAGGACGCGGCTTCACCGACAGCCCGGTGAGCGTTACAGCACTTGGTTGAACCGGGCTGCTGCTGGTGCTACTGGTGCTGCTGGTGCTGCTACTGGTGGGGGTGGGGGGCACCAGAGGAAATGTTTACTCCCACCTTCAGGAGAACGAAAGTACTTTTCGCTTCTTGATGTGACTGGAAGTGTGTGTTTTTCTGGGAGAACTGTCCGCAAAGTTGATCTGAAGAGACTCGAGCGGTTTTAATGCGCACACTTTACCGACAACAGCATACATCATCTCAGGAACCAGTCAAGCTGCAGCAGTTCAGCGCCACTTCCGGTAAACATCTGCAAATTAAAGCCGTGTTGCCAGGTAGGGTCGAGGTTTTCCAGCCCAAAAATCCAAGTAAAATCTGTTCAAAACCGCCACATCGCACAAAAACCCGCCCAATCAGCATAGTTATATTTACTGTTTGAACATGAACGCACATCAGTACAACTAACCAGGGTAATTTATATATATATATGTATATATGTATATATATATACATATATACATATATATACACATATAT